ACACCTCCAAAAATTAAATTTCAAAAAACAATTTGCCTCCCTAGTATTTATTCATATTATTGAAATTTATAGGGTTTATGCATATCTCATCACGTACAGTAACATTTCAAAAATAATTATTTGCTATATAAAAATAAGATTGTGGAGATTTACAGTATTCCTACCCGATTAATCGGGTATGAAGTCGGATAGAAAATCGGGTAAACACTTTTATAGTTTTTAATTTTTGAATCATTTTAACAATTCAATTAAATAATATGTACAAATTTAACAACACAATAAATCAATAACACAAACCTAAAATAACTACGACAACAATTACAATAAAATACAAGAAAACATAAACATCAATCCATCATAATTGTTATACAAATACAATAACAATTATTTTAAGTTTAAATCATATGAAACACATTAAAATTATAATTGCTCCAATAAATCATCAATTTACCACAAATTATGTAATTTACACAAAAAATAAGTTCATGTTTTAGCAACTCAAACATCAACAACAATAACAATGTTTTAATATAAATTATACTACACAAATATTCTTATAATTACTAAAAAATATAAAAAATTTAAATATATTTTTTACGGGTAGAATAGAATCAGAATGCAAAAATTGATAAATATTCTACATTTGTATCCAATTTAATTAAAAAATCTAAAAACTCTTTCGTATTCTTATGACTAGCCATTCATTAGGCCAGAGCTGAACAGACGAATATCCAGCAGAAGATCTGCCATGTAGAAGATGAATATGCAGCAGAAGATCGCCAGAATCGATGCAATGAATGATTGTCCATATCCAAGAAGTCCTGCTGCATCGACATAAATAGAAAAGATCTGAGAATTGAAGGGATCCCCAACAGTCATAGGATGCTAAGTCATGGGGCAAATGCAGAACAAAGCTCCAGCTAGAACAAAACCGGAGAGCAACCATTGAAGATGAAAAGTTGAAGAGTGCTACAACAAACAGTTGAAAATGCTTGAAAATCCGTAGGTCCTGCAGATGATAAAGATTTGTGATCCAATAGGTAAGCGAGCATTCCCCTACTCTCTCTTTAATACAGATGTAGAATTGTTGATGCATCTGCTCCTGTGAGTAAAATCATCATCTCTTAATGCCTAACCATCACTGGGTTTAGATTCGAACCCAAGATTTCTTCTGTCGTGGAGATCTGAGTTGCCTCGGATCTTGTAAAATCAAACTTCTTACTTGGGCTGGGAGTGAATTAGAAGAGGCAGTTCAAAGATCTGTTTTGTCTATCACCCCTTTTTTGGCCAGATAATCAGCCACCATATTTCCTTCTCTATAAGTATGAATCAGTGTACATGACAAAGCACTCAATCTCCAAGAGATTCGAGTAATCAGTTCACTGAGTTTCCATGGGACCTTTATTTTACCAGAGAGCATATCTAGGAGAACTTGGGAATCTGATTCAATGACAAATGGATAGGCAGATAAGCCATAATCCTTCAATAAAATCAAACCATCTAACATAGCTCTACTCTTAGCTTCCAGATTCGTGCAATGACCATAATAGAAACAAACTGCAACAACCAATCGGCCCCATTGATTTCGCAGGACAACCCCCCCCAAGCCTCTCCAGGTGCCATGAGACGCTCGATCTGTATTTAGTTTATGAAAACCTCTGCAGGAAACTCCCACTTGATCCACAAAATGGTACATTGGAAAGTAGTGTTGGTTGGAATCTAGAGAGCAGCAAGCAAAGTCTTACCTTGTAGAGAATCAGCAGCCCTTGGCCTTATTAGATACCCTTGAAATTTTAAGTAATTTAAGACAATAGATATAAGACCTGAAGAGTGTATTCTAGTACCCTCAACAGCTGCCAGTAAATGAGAAGGGATATGCCTCTGATCAATGAATGGCTATAAGAATTTTTAGAGAAGACCCTAGATAGTCTGAAGAATCTCACCATAGGCATCTCCTGTTGTATTAAACCAAAACCCATTAAACTAGCAAATTTATTCCTTAACTCTATTGAATATGAACAATTAATAAAAATATGTTGATAAGACTCCTCCCCCTCACAACACAATGGACATCTACTAGCCAAGGATACTCCAAATTTCTGAAAATTTTCATCCATAGGTAAGGCATGTTTGAGTATCTTCCACTCAAGCAGCAGGGCGCTAGGAGGAACATGTTGTTTCCAAATAGTAGCAGAAATCGCAGTTTTTTGTCTACTATCTCTTATCAAATTCCAGACTGATTTAACTGTAAGCAAACCAGACTTAGTTAATTGCCACACCAACTGGTCTGGGCTATTAGTTAACTTTGCTGAGAATGAACCAATTTCCTGTCTCATAGTGTCATCTAGCCAGTGATTAATTTCCTCTAGCTTCCATTGAACGCCGTCATAAATCTCTGCCACCTTAGGAAAAGCTGGTGGAACTTCCTGCAATCTCAAAATTAAAGCCCCAGTTCCAAGCCAGTTATCACACCAAAAATCTGTTGCTCTCCTGAGCCAATAAGCCTTCTGGCATGCCTGACCACAGTATCAAACCAAGAAGACAAAACCTAATACCCTTTGGAATGGAATACACCAGGATTACTAAGCATGTGCCCCTTTTTGAAAAATTTAGCAGCAAAGATTTTAGACCATAAAGAATTCAGTTGTAGTAATCCCCAAGTCTGTTTCATTCTAAAAGCTTTTTGAATGTCCTCAAACTTTCTAATGCCAAAACCCCCTTCTTCCAATGGCAGCGTAACCTCTTTCCAAGAACACCAGTGTCTCTTGTTCGAATCTCTTGAGTTAGACCAGAGGAAATGACTCATAGAAGCATTAAGTTTGACCAAAATACCCTTTGGAAGATTAAGACAAGAGAGTAGATGTGTGGGCAAAGCATTCAAAACATATTTTAGCAACACTACTCTACCCATATTAGAGAGCATTTTAGTATACCATCCCTCCATCCTGGCTTGGAATTTTGTACCATATCCTCAAAATAAATAAGCTTTGATCTACCTTTAATGATAGGGCACCCCAAATATGTGATAGGACAGGACTTTAATGGAATTCCAGCAGTTCTCTGCAAAACAGTTCACCTAGGCACTGAGAGCTTTGAAGAACAATACAATGAGCTTTTACTTTTATTCACCCTTTGTCCAGAAGAATCCTCATACTGCCTAATGAACTTAAGCAGGTTCACCAAAGAATTTTTATTCCCTCTCAAGAACAGTAATGTATCATTAGCAAACAACAAATAGCTCAATAGCAAAGTTCCTCTACTAGTATAAAAGGGTTTAACCAAACCAGTTTGGAATAAATTTGTCAATCCCCTACCCAAAACCTCTTCTGCAATAATAAACAGACTTGGTGAGATAGGATCACCTTGCCTCAATCCTCGTTATGTAGGAAAAAAACAAATCTCTGTCCATTGACAATGACATAGATGTTTTGGTTCGATGGACAGTTCCCTATGATTTTAACAAAACTGGAAGAGAAACCAAAACTGAGTAAAGCTTGGTTCAAGAAATACCACTCAATTATGTCATATGCTTTCATCATGTCTAGCTTCAGTACCAAATTACCCCCTTCCACTTTTCTGTCCAATTCATTAATCATTAATTGTGCTGTAGATATACAGTCCCCAATATATCTACCCTTAACGAAACCATGTTGTTCAGTAGAAATGATAGAGGGCAAGAGAATACTCAACCTGTTGGCTAATATTTTTGTAAAAATCTTGTAGGCAAAATTGCAAAGGCTGATTGGTCTAAAGTCAGAAAAAGAAGTGGGATTTGTTCTCTTGGAGATCAATGACAACAAGGTAGCATTAATTGATCTTGGTACCACACCTCCCTCCAGGAAAAAATTCACATCAGCCAGAATATCGCCCTTAATTATATCCCAAGCCTCATGGAAAAATTTCCCAGAAAATTCGTCTAAACCTGGAGCACTGTCAGTTGACATTGAAAAAACTATCTCCTGCACCTCTTCCATAGTTGCTTGCGCTGTAAGCATATCATTTTCTGCCTATGACACCATCTTAGGAATGGCTGAGAATAGCTTATCCTGCAAAATATGTTGTTCCGAAGTGTAAAGTTGAGAGAAAAATTAACATCACAATATGCAATATCTTTGTCATCTTCCAGCCATACTCCTTCCTCATTTTTAATTCTCTTTATTCTATTCCTGCCAAATCTACCTCTAGCTATAGCATGATAGAACTTAGTATTCCTCTCCCCTTCCAAGGACCACCTCATAGCTTCCAATATATATCTTCCAACCTGTTATCCAAGTCTTGTTTGGCCTTTTCCAAAAGCATCAAATTAGGTTCTGAAGCATCTTCTTCTGTCGCCAGTTTAGCCTGCATTAGAGCTGCTTCCTCCTTCTTAATCTTCTCAAATATATTACCAAACACTTCTTTGTTCCACTGTTTTAAGTGAAACTTTAAATACTTTAATTTCAAAAATACATTCTCAGTAGGATTAGATGAATAATTCCCCCTCCATCTCTCAGCAATCAAAGATTTAAATGATGAGTGTTGTACCCTCATGTCTTGAAAATTAAAATAGGCAATCCTCTAAAGATTATGAATATCCTGGATGTTAATCAACAAAGGACAATGATTTGACTTGCCTCTGGACTTGTGCACCACTTCTGTAGATTCAAATTTAACACTCCACTCCAGGTTATGTAACACTCTATCCAGTCTTTGCCACATCCTTGCTCTGCCTTGTTGATTGTTACACCAAGTAAAATTGCCAACAAAGTAACCACAGTCTATTAAGCCATTTGCCTGAATAAAATTCCCAAAGTCATCCATAGTAGTGATACTAGGAAGGAACTGAGCCACATCTTCTTTCTCCAGAGTGAACAATTACATTAAAATCCGCTGCCACCATCCATGGCATTGAATTCATTTGCAAATTACTTAAATATTCCCATAGAGGTCTTATTAGCACCTAATCACACTGGGCATATACCACAGTAATCCAAAAAGGCATAGAGCCTAAGAAAGAAGCCTCAACTGTAAGGGGCTTGCACATGAGAATCCACCACCTTCACAACCAGCCTTTGATCCCACAGAATCCATGCATGCTTCTCAGCCCTATCATTAACCTGATGAGATGATATATTTAGAAATTTGGCTAAGGTTGCCAGACTTTTCTCCCCTTAGTTTCCAGAATTGCTATAAAGCAGACATCTTGCAACTTTAATAATTTCTTCAGACGCCTCTATTTGGGGCCTTCCCCTAATCCTCTCATATTCCATAAAAGCGTATTAATCATTTAAAGCTGAAAAGAGTTCTTAACTAGACCAGATTTTGATCTGGTTACCATGCCAATTTGAACAACCACTAAGCTTCTTAATTTTGGACTGTAGCTATCATCAACTTCTGAATCTTGAGACTCTACCTCTATAGGGTCAGAATTGACAGGTAAGTCTCCATCTGAATAAAAACCTCTGTCTGGGGGTTCCTTTGCACAGAATAATCCCAAACCCTCATCTAAGCTCACATTGGAGAATTTTCCACAAGTATATGCATGGTCTATATAATAAGTAGAATCATCTAATTGCATACTTCTGTACTTGTCTACCTCTTTTGTTGCCTTCTTATTGATTAGTAAATGTTCAGATTGCACTTGTGTCTGATACTTTATTCCGTTGATTCAGGTTTTCAGCCAATGCCTTTTGGACCATTGAAGGAGGGTCAAAGGCGGAAGAGGGGGAAAGTGTTTTTTTTGCAGTAGATGGTGGTTGCCCTTCTTCCACAGGAGCCAGCGAAGCTTCAGCAACAGTTGCAGAATCCTGAACAGGATTCACACATTCTTCCAAATGCATAGTTGTCATATTTAAAATATCCTTGCCTAAGATAGGAGTATTGTCCTTCCCCGAATGCTCTCTTTTTTCCAAAACTGTGATTGATTTGTCTGTTTCCAAATCTATTGTTTGTAAATTTAAATTAATTGACTTTCCCAACTTACTAGATATTGACTTCTGGGAATTGCTTGGTTGGTTTGGCTTCTGCTGCTGCTTCCAGACGCCATTACTTGGCTGGGCTAAATTATTCTGCTTTAATTGAGGCTTAGTGATTCGTTGTCTAGTACCTTGTGCGAATTGTCAGAATTTTGATCTTGCTGGATGTTCTTTCCTTTACTGCCCCATTCTCTTTGGAAATTGGTTTTTTTCCTTTCTCCTCATCCATCAACACTGAAACTTTCCTTTTCCTTCATTCTTCCTCGCCATGCCCTTGTTTCTTGCAACTTTTGCTGAATTGTTTGTTATTCTCATAGATGATTCGTTGCCATCTAGCTCTCTCACCCCCATGTCAATCCATATTCTAGAAGGATTATTCAGTAGAAGGTTAACTTCCACACACACTCTTGCCACACTTGGTCTTGACAGTGAGGTTTGATCATATTTCTCTGGTCAATCGATCCAACTTCAAAGTCTCCCTTCAGGTTCCATTTGGATCTAATCACTTCTTTTATAACTCCCAAGGAAGGTCTACCATAAGATCACTTACCAATCAAAACATATTGCAGAGATTGGCATGACTTTTGCACTTACATCATTCGTAAAATAAAATGCAGGCTCCCTTTCATAGAATACTATAGGCTTCTCAATTTTTTCTGGTATAGAATCATTAAAGATTTGCTGGGATTGGTTTTTGAATAAAGATGCATAGCTTTGATGAGTGTTATTGGATGAATCTAGAGGTTTTGGTGGAATATGGTGTTGTGCTTGTGATGAACTCATGGAAAAGAAAAAATTCTAGAGAGAAGGCAGAGCTTCTCTCTCTAGAAATATAATATATAAGTCATTCTTATTGCCCCGGGGATAGTTCATTTATGAACAGGTGTTGTTTTGATGATGTTTGTCCATATGGGTATCATACATGGATTTTGGGTGCCAATAAACTAATAAGCCAATATTCCAACAAATCTCTTGAGTGGAGCAAGGTTAAGGCGAAAGTAAATAGAGTTTATATTTTTGAAAAAATAACCCGAAAAGAATAAGTTTATCAAATTGCATTCAGAACAACAAATGATGAATTTACCACATTTATTATCATAAAATTGTATAAAAATTTCTCACTCTGGGCTTTATGAAATTGATGGTGTTGCATTATCATTTAAGAAAAAAGGTTACACTATGAAATCAATGGTGTTGCATTATCATTTAAGAAGAAAAGGTCTGATAGTGTAACCTTGAGATTTAGTTTCGATATGAAAATTCCTTGATGTTTCACGTATGTATTTCAAACGATAGTACATAGTGTAATTTCAAAAATACTTTTTACCTATAGTTTGAATGATAGTACATTGATGTATATGATGATATTTTTTTCTAATTGCCTTGATGAGTTTGGTTATAATGTTTTGAGTTTGAATTTGGAATATGTCGTGTTGAATATTGTTGCTAAATAATTCATAGAACCTGTATTATGTTTTTTTGGTATATACTATTGCAAACATGTTTTTTTAACAAAATTTTCATACGTGCATGATTGAAACATTAGGTACAAAAAGTGAGAAAATTTGAAAAAAAGGACAAGAGTGTGATTGATTTACCAAATAGGGTCTCACGGGGAGTACTTTGATGGGGTTGACCAATTTCTTATCTTTTCATACATCAATAAGCATGAAAGCTCAACGATTTATTGCCCGTGTAAGAGATGTGCAAATTGTTTCTTTGTGTCAAGATAAGTAGTACGAGGCCATCTTATTTTCCATGATTTTCTTAAAGAAGTATAAGAATTGGATTAACCATGGGGAACCCTACATGCCACTTCAGTTGATTCAGATGTTCATGATAATATGATCAAAATGGTGCATGAGGCAATGGGAATTCCAAATGTAGGTGCAAACGTTGAAAATGATGAACTAATTTCAGATGAACTCTAGTTATGGCCTAATGAAGAAATTGCAATGTATTTCAAACTTCTACAAGATGTAGAAAGTGAATTAAATTTAGGGTGTGCACATTTCACCACATTTTCATTTATTGTTAAACTATTGCATTTCAAGATGCTCAATGGATGGATAGACAAGTCATTTACAATGTTACTTCAGTTGCTAACCAAGGCTTTCCCTGAGGGAGACAAACTTTTGACTTCATACTATGAAGCCAAAAAGGCAACAGATGATTTGAGTTTCACATATAAAACATGGGAAGCAGGCGCCATTAGGTGCATATATAAATTTATATAACTTGGGAAATTTATGTTAGTTCTTATTGTAAAAAAATAAGTAGGCAAATTGTATGTTTCTTTCAATGTTGAGAACTTTATTGGACTATAGTGTTGTTTTGACAAAACAAATCTTAATTATGAGCTAATTTCGTCAATTATAGTTGTAGGTTAACTTGACATTTGCACCCCCCCGGATTTAGAGATGTTTGCTTGAAAGTATGTACACAAATGTGGAGAGAACACAAACAAAAAAAAAAAAAAAACATATTATGACCCAGTGAAGGTATGAGTACAATTTTTTGTATACCATTATAATAATAGAATACTAATATTGAATAATTCGTAATTGATGATATAGGAAATATCAATCCAAAATTCAAGGAATCATGAATATCAAGGCCTAATCCACCGGATGGGCAAACTCACTTTGTCCAAGTATGGAGACATGCAAGTGACGTTTAAAATGAATATGCTTAGATATGTAATATTACATCTGTTTGAGAAGTATTGAAATCTAGTTTATGGTCATTGATATTTTTAGATGGAAGAAAGTGGAGACTGCATTGATAAAATCAACATTTATATCAAAATATGCACGAAGAATGGTGTTCCATGTGACCCAGATGTAGCAAAAGTCATTGTATCAGTTGCTTATATTTATGCAATTTTAAATAATTTTTTATTCGACTCGTTACAAGATATCTAAGCATTATTAATTAATTATTCTAAATCGTAGGAAGAATTTTAGGAGCAACTGTTTTAGGTTTCTGAGTCAGATTAGACACCAAATCTTTGAGATCGGATTTTTCATTAGGTATTGGGAGAAGATGGACACGGATATTGTAAGACCTATGGTACTGGAGTGCCTTAGAGTGCAGTGTACAAACAAAAGACAAGCTCATCAAATGCACTAAATCCTATGTCCATTGATCAAATTTATTGTATGGTGTGAGCAGATTTGGAGCAACAATTTAAAAAAATGATAAAAGCGAAGGTAGAGTAGCAATTAAAAGTGTTGGGAATCATATATATTGCAAAAGCGTAAGATCAAAGACATACCTTTCTTGCATTTTAATCCAAAATCTTTGGAGGAAGTTCTACGTATTCTAGAATCTGAAAATCGTCTTTTCTTTGATTGCTCGAGTAGTATTTTATTTTTACTCAAGACGAATTAACACTGAGTTTTCAAGGCTCAAAACCCTTTCAACATTATGTAAAGAGCGGAAGAGAGCAGGAGAGTTTTAACATTTAGAGTTTTTCTAATAATATCTATTAGGTGTTATTTAGAGTTTATATAGGTAACCAATATGTGCCTTGGAGAGGTACATCCTATAGGGACATGTCTATTAAATGTTAACAAACATGTATGTTGGGTGGCAAAAGGGTAACTCCAAAAGTCATGCCCCTTGGCATTCTCTAATTGGGCCGACCCATCATGGGCAACACAGTTTGAGTCCATGACCCAAACCCAATATCTAACATCTCCCACTCGCTCATGGTGGGTACAACACAACCATCTATTTCAATCCATTATATACATCAACATCAATTCATTTAGGCTAATGGGTCATGTGACGAGTTAGCACACTTGCATCTTGGGAGCTTTATACTATAAACTCTACAAGGCCAACATAGAGACATCAAATCTAAAAAAAATGAAAATTGGTGTCTCAAGTATTCTAGACCCAATTGGATACACCGGTTCAAGCATCTCTAATCCCCTATAATATAAGAGCATGCTTAATCCCGTGAAGCTTTTGCATATATATTCACACTTTGTCATTGTCTAAACTAGTGCCCAAAGTTGTCGACAATGAATACATCGTGGGATGTTCTGAATGGTCTTCCTTTCGCCGTCATATCACTTAGTTCAAAACTAACCATTTTTCCATCAATTTCCCAAAAGGCCAAATCACTCATGGCTGTAGGTAACATGATAAAGTAGTTGAGCATTAATTCTTTCACTTCATGATATCGTCAAAAGTAAAAGAATAAATTGAATATTTGATGAAAAATAACCCTCGTCTAAAAATGACTTGAAGGACTCACACAGTGAGGAAGTAGGTATTCATTCCTTCACGTCCTGAATTGGTTGCCAAGCACATGTAGTATGAAATGAAAGCTACATTAGAGTGTCTCGATCTTAATGAGAGTGTATGTCATACTCAGACACCATGCAGTTCTTAGTCTAATCGCTTTACAAGCGCCTAACATGAGTTCTCTATTTGCTCACCCTCAAAAAGTGCCAAATTAAGAACTTGCATCTTGCTAATGAACATGGAGTTGTGTCCACTATCGATGCTCAAATGTCAAATCTCATTTTGCATACAAAACAAAGTGATAATATATGTTTGAGTATCTCATCTTTGTTCGCCATCTCAAGCACCAAAAGCGATTGAAAATGTGAGTGAGCCAATCATGTCTGTTGACATACTTAATGTGTGTGGTTTCTCAAATACTAGGGTGATCAAGAAATATAACATTCAATTGAAAATAAACCCATGTATTAATATCCCAAAAATGTAAATACAAATGATTATGTGATCCATACAATCAATAGCACATAATCAATACCTACAAAATCCTAGAGTTCTAACTTGAGCCATATACATATCTCTAGCTATAGGCTTAGTTAGGGGGTTTGCAA